TTTTTTTTTTTTTTTTTGTCTCTTAATTCAATGTTTTGTTTTACTTTCTTCTGTAAGACTAAAAGGAAACATAGTATCTCAAAAGCAATTCAGTTTATCAAGCCTTCTTGTAAGGAACATCAGACACAAATGTAATGCGATTCAGCCAGATGGCTTACTGACGGTTTTGACAGTAAAATCTTCGGTGATCCGTGGTTGAACTCAGAAGATGTGTATGCTAACATAGTATTCGTGGCACTTAAGATCTTCAACTATTCACATATATTTTTTGTATTAGCTTTATTTAGACATAATTCACACACCATACAATTCACCTATTTTAAAGGGTGCAACTCAATGGTTTTTAGTATATTTACAGAGCTGTATAGTCACCACCACAGATTTTAGAACATTTTTATCATCCAAAAAGAAACTCTATATTCATAACCCTTCCATTCCCCCACCCCTAACACTACTTTATTTTCTGCCTCCTATATTTGCTTCTTTGGGACATTTCATAGAAATGGAATCATATAATATGAAGTCTTAGCCAAGATTCATGCATATTGTAATATATCAGCATTTCATTCTTTTTTTGTGGCTGAATGGTGTTCCATTGTATATGTATATACACCACAGTTTGTTCATCCGTTTACCAGTTGATGGGTACTTGGGTTTCCACCTTTTGGCTGTTACGAATAATGCCGCTGATGAACATTCACTTGTAAGTTATTGTGTGGACATATGTTTTCAGTTCTTTTGGGTATATACCTAGGACTAGAATACTTGGGTCAACTGCTAACTCTACGTTTAACTTTTTGAGGAGCTGCCAGACTGTTTTAAAAAATGGTTGCACCATTTTTATCTTCCTGCCAGCAGGGTAGGAGATTTTTGGTTTCTCTGCATCCTCACCAGCATTTGTTATGGTCTGACTTCTGATGGCCATCCCTGTGGGTATAAAGTGGTGTCTCGTTATGGTTTTGACTTGCATTTTCCTAATGGCTCGTGGTGTTGAGCATCTTTTCTGTTTGGTATTTGTGTATCTTCTTTGGAGAAATGTTGTTTTTCACATTTTTAAATTGGATTATTAATTGTCTTACTGTTGAGTTATAAGAGTTCTTTGTATACTCTGGGTAAAAGTCCCTTGTCAGATACATGATTTGCAAATATTTTCTCCCATCGTGTGGGTATTATATTTTTTAGTAAATTCTGAAAACGTACCTATGTTCCATTTCATTGGGTTTTACAATATTACTTTGTTTTGTATTATTTTTGCTTTTTCTTGAAGACATTGTCAAAGTCCTGTACATTTTGTATGTGTTTTATGTGTATGTATTTTATGTAAAAGGGATATATACATTATATACATATTTTAGAATTATATAAATTATTCTGCTCTTTGTTGAAAATTTGGAGAGCGACCAATGATGTCATAAAGGAGCAAATTTAGATTGTTCTTAATGATATGTCATTTTCTTATTTGTGATTATTAGGACAATTAAGTATTTTACTACTCTTTGTTTTTTCTAAAATTTTACATATTTCGCAACATATGATTCCATAATTATCTATGTTCTCTTAAAAAATTGGTGAAGAGCTGTGTTGTGGGGTCAGATTTGTCTTCTGAGTGCTTTTTCATCAATTTGTAAACCCTACTTGATTCAGTCTTTCACTGAAGCTGATGTATGTCCCTTTAAACCTTCATGTTTTTACTTTCATTGAGGTTTCTTTGAAGAATGTCTGTAAGGTAAATAGAATGGATTTTCCCTTGCATTTTTGAAGAGTATATTCCCCCTGCTGAAGTTTGGTCAAACTGCACAAATATGGTTACTTAAGATTCTTTCCACATGTCAGGTATACTCGGCCACTTTGGATGAATTTGGAAATGTGTGGACTTTTTTCCTCCTTATGATGCCTTATGGTATGGAAGTACTTCTGTGTGCTAGAAGTTGGTCACTATTTTGTTTAGCAGGAGAGAAAAGAAAATATAATTAAGTAGTTTGCATTAGAAACACTTAATTTAAAGAATGTACAGATTTACTAGTGAGTGCACCTCAGAGATCACTGCCAACAGCTTTCTGGTTCTTTGGGTTGCTTCTCGTAACTGATTAAGCTCGCAAAGGTGGTCCCATCTCCCGCCCACCCCCCTAAACGCACACAAAAGGATTCTGTGATGATTTATGTGGACTGTGAAAATGGGCTCACGTACTGGATTGAGGGTTATATTTGGGAGCCAAAGAATTTTTAAGTGAAGCCATGTCCTTTTTTTCAGTAAAGCAATAGCCTCTCTTCTAGTGCTTACTGGGATGTCAGGGTTATGGGGTCAGGTAATACTGCAACGAAAGGAGGAAAGAAGTTACCTTGAGAGGAGTGGCTAGGAGCAGGGAAGATGTTTTCTCATGGAGGGGAGACCTGGGTGTGTGTCTAGGGACTGGAATGAATGCAGGATGCCATGGAGGTCACATGGTCCCGTGATCCCGAGAAAAGAAAAGGCGGTGTTTATAGAGAGAGGTTCTGAAGTTGGAAGTTTCAGAATGCCTCCATTTCAGAAAAAATGGCCTAAGACTGTTCATACATTATAAAAGTGATATATTCACCCAACAAAGCTCAGGAAATACAGCCTGGGAGAAGAAGTAAAAAGTTATCCACTGTGCCACCCAGGAGACACTGTGACAGTCATGAGTCCCACAGTGCAGAATGGTACCAGCTACATCTGGCTGTGGAGCCCTTGACGTGTGGCCAGCGTGATTGGCCACTGTGTCTTATTTTATTTTATTTAGATCCGCTTGCCATGTGGCCAGTACAGCGTAGAGCGTTCCCGCCGCCACTGAAGCTCCCCGGACAGGCTCTGGAGGGTTCTGTCCTGGGCTTTGAGGGCTGTGTGTTTGAATGTGCTTGTTGCCATGCTGAGCGCCGCATTTCTAGCTGCACTTTTTATTAAGTGGCCGTCCCTGCACGTTGGGTACCAGCCTGTGGGAAGGCACAGGCTTCCTGTAGCCTCCTCCCGAAGTTTCCCTTGGACCCCTGCCGTCGTGTCACACTTCAAAGGATGCTGTTTATGTCATTTTGGAACCATTCCTCTCCCTCTCCGTTCCCGCCAGCTTCTCTCAGCTGGGCTCAGATGTTTGGTTTGCAGAAGCATAGCCTGTGGCCGGTGAGGGGAGGGGCGGGTTTCTCCCCCCTTCTCTACCAGGCATAGCCTTGGGCTTGGGTGTCCTGGGTGACCGCACTGTGCCACATGGCAGCAGGCAGGCTCTCAGGACATAGGTGTGGAGGATGGAAGACAGTGCCCAAGGGAGGGGGACACAGAGAGTCCCGGAGATGGCTCTGTCCCTGCTCTCCATCCCTCCCTTACCAGCGCTGCTTCTGGGTCTGACACCCCCGCCCCCTCCTGTCATCCAGGTGCATCCACTGCGGGGTCGTCCACCTGACCTTGGCCTTGCTGAAAAGCCACATCCAGGAGCGACACTGCCAGGTTTTCCACAAATGTGCATTCTGCCCCATGGCCTTCAAGACTGCCAGCAGCACCGCGGACCACAGCGCCTCTCAGCACCCCACCCAGCCCCACAGACCCTCCCAGTGAGTGCAGCTCCAGGGTCAGCAGGCCCGTGGGGTGGAGCTCAGTGGCCTAGGTGCTACGGCGGGGGGAGGTTCCGGGACGGACCAGGGAGCCGGGGCTGGCGGGAGAGGCGCCTGGAGGTCACTGAAGACATCCTGAGGCAGGGGAGTATCCACATCGGCTCAGAGTAGTGTTTCCCCGGAGTGGACCCCATTTCAGAGAGAGCACAGTGGGGGTGGAGGTTGTGTCCACAAGAGCCTGGCCACCTCACGCCCCGGGGCTTGTCTCGTCAGGCTCATTTATAAGTGCTCCTGTGAAATGGTCTTCAACAAGAAGAGACACATTCAGCAGCATTTTTATCAGAATGCCAGCAAGACGCAGGTGGGCGTCTTCAAGTGCCCTGAGTGCCCACTGCTGTTCCTGCAGAAGCCGGAGTTGATGCAGCACGTCAAGGTGGGGTGCCCTAGGGAAGGAGGCTGGGGAGGAGGACGCGCGCCTCAGGCCGGGGGGTCTGATTCTGTGCACCTTTCCCCTCGCCCAGTTAGTAATCGCTCTCCCCATCCCCAGAGCACCCACGGTGTTCCCCGAAACGTGGACGAGCTGTCCAGCCTCCAGTCTTCATCGGACACGGCTTCGAGCCGGCCTGGCTCTCGAGTTCCCACCGAGCCCCCGGCCGCCAGCGTGGCCGCTCGGGGCAGCTCCCTGCCCTCCGGCCGCTGGGGCAGGCCCGAGGCCCATCGCAGGACCGAGGCCAGGCCCCGGCTGAGGAACACTGGCTGGACCTGCCAGGAGTGTCAGGAGTGGGTTCCTGATCGGGAGAACTACGTGTCCCACATGAAGAAGAGCCACGGTCGGGTCAGTGTCGTCACATCGTCACAGTGCAGTGCCAGACTCTCTGGACGTCTGTGGGCTCAGAGCCCCCTTGTGTGGCTGACCCCTTAGGGTTCCTGGTGCTTGGGGCAGGGTGGGTACCACAGATCCCGAGGTCTTTGGGGCACCCCCTTTCTGCCTGCATCACCCGAGTAGAAAGATATACCCAAAACCGTCTTACGGTTCTGATGCTTTGCATCCCGTCATCTCCCGTAGACGTTGAAGCGGTACCCGTGTCGGCAGTGTGAGCAGTCCTTCCACACCCCCAACAGCCTGCGCAAACACATCCGCAACAACCACGACACCGTGAAGAAAGTCTACACTTGCGGGTGAGTCCCTGGAGGTGGGAGCCGGGAGGCCCGAAATTCAAAAAGTCTGTCCAGGGCTTTTCTCTGCTGTGAGATCAGGGGTCGGAAGCAAGATGATACGAGCGGGTTTCTAATGGGAAAACGCTGTGGCTAAGTTAGAAGGCAGGGCTGGTAGGGAACCAGCTTCTAGAACCTGCTGGCCCCTGAGCCCTCCCCCTTCGTACCTCCCTGACCCTGGGCTGCACTGCCCGCTGCTCTGACGGAGGGCTGGTGGTGTCACTGTGCCCCGTCTGGCCGAGAGGCTTCCGCATCGTGTCTGTGCTTCGGGACATAGCCTGGCCTCTTCCTTGCTGACCTGGCTTAGGGCCAGCACATATATTGTGAGACCTGCTGTTGTTGTCTGCCACCTTGGCCGGCTCGTCAGCTGACCTTCTCTGGGAGCCCAGCACCGCCCAGCCAGCCCGATGACCACCCAGCCAGCTCTCTGCCTGCTCCAGACTGTCCCCTGGAGCCAGGAGCAGCTTCAGCTCCTGCCAGGGGTGCTCGGAGCCTGTCCTCTTACACAGTCTCTTCGGCTGCAGGTACTGCACAGAGGACAGCCCCAGCTTTCCTCGGCCCTCCCTTCTGGAGAGCCACATCAGCCTTATGCATGGTATCAGAAACCCTGATTTGAGCCAGACGTCCAAAGTCAGACCTCCGGGTGGACATTCCCCTCAGGTGAGTGCGGGGGCCCCTGCCCCTGGAGGCGCCTGCTCAGTGAGCCCCCTGAGCTGCAGGGCCAGCAGGAGGGCTCCGGGGAGCAACCAGCAGCCACAGCTTCCCTCAATGTAGGCCATTCTCTAGTCATGCGTGACCCACCTGGGGACTGCATGCAGGTAAAGGACAGGGACAAAGATCTGTGAGACCGCCCATCAGCCTTTTGTTCCCGTGGTTTCCCTGTCACTGGGATGCTTTCCTCAGCTGTGTGTCATGTTGTGTGGACACTGGAGTGCGTTCACACTCACTGTCCTGTTTCTGCCCCACTAGTCCTGGGTCAGGGGGAAGGGCAGGGCTGCCTGTCAGGCGAGGATGGCAGTGAGTGTCTCTCTTACACACACACACACACACACACACACACACACACACACACACACAGTCGTTGTGGGAGGGGCTGGGTGCAGACCCCTGCTAGCCTGGGCCCTCGTCCCGTGACCTTGCCCCCATTTCGTGCCCTATTCCCATTATTTCTTCTGAACTTCTAGAACCGCTTGGTTCCCCTCCACTGTAGGCCCTTCCTGCTCCATGGTGGGGAGGGCTGCTTCTCAGAGGGTCAGGCATGTCGGGGGGAATTTGAGAGCCGCCTGGACTTCCAGGGCGTTCCTTCTCGGCCACTCAGGGAGGGCGTTGGTCGGCAGGCCCTTCCGCACAGAGCAGGTGGGGTGTCAGTTGACATTCTGGCAACATCTGCCTGTGATTAAAACGCACACCCCCCTCCAAATGCACGTGCCCTTGGAGCCATCATTCCGTCCCTAGGGTTTGTCCGCCCTGTAGCTTCGGCCTCGTGCCTGAGGAGGTGTGTGCAAGGATATTCGCTGCGGGGCTGTGTGCAGTGATAATGACGGGACACAACCGAATGTCTACCAGCGGGGACGCTTTGTCATTGCCAGTGTTAGAGGAAGGAAGCCTCTGTGTATGCCCTCATGCAGATGATGGCCAACGCATGTGATTAAGTAGAAAAAGGGGGAGGAAGAGTGTGCATGTAGTGCTATCATTTTGTAGAAAACAACAGTTTTTTTAAAAAACTTTTTGTAATGTTCATTTGTTTTGAAAGAGAGGGAGAGAGAGAGAGACAGAGAGCACGTGGTGGGGGGGAGGGGACAGAGAGGGAGAGATCGACGTGGGGCTCCATCTCATGAACCTTGAGATCATGGCCTGAGCAGAAACCAAGAGTTGATGCTTAGCTGACTGAGCCACCCAGGTGCCCCAAAGATGACAGTTTTATCTTTGTGCACACAGAGACTCTCTCTTAGAGGGGCCTCAGAAGCCAGGTGGCAGGGTGTTCTGTGGAGAGCAGAGAACATGCCCCTCCCGTGTCTTTGGAATGTGGGGCCGCACACATACGTTACATTAGACAAAGCACCAGCCAACAGAAAAACCTGAAAGAAACCAGATCTAAACCTGGTTCGGGGCCAGGGCGAGCCTGGCCGGGGGGGGTCGTGTGGGGGGGCGCGGGGTGATTCTGCGAGTGCGGGGGCTGAGCCGTTCAGGTGTGCGGCTCAGCTCTGGGGCCCGGGCTGGGCTGGGACCCCACTCACCCTGCCTCCCCCTCCAGGTGAGCCATCTGAAAAGACCGGGCAGCGGAGCCGGGGACGCTCCGGGCACCAGCAATGGCGCGGCCGTCTCTTCCACCAAAAGGCACAAGTCCCTGTTCCAGTGTGCGAAATGTAGCTTTGCCACAGACTCGGGGCTCGAGTTTCAGAGCCACATACCTCAGCACCAGGCGGACAGCTCCACGGCCCAGTGTCTTCTCTGCGGCCTGTGCTACACCTCTGCCAGCTCCCTCAGCCGCCACCTCTACATCGTCCACAAGGTGAGAGACCAGGAGGAGGAGGAGGAGGAGGAGGAGGAGGACGACGACGACGACGACGTGGAGGCGGTGGCGGAGGCTGCGGAGGCCGCGGAGCCAGAGGAGGGCTCCGGGGAGGAAGTGTCCATGGAGACCAGGGAGAACGGACTGGAAGAAGGTGCCGGAGAGCCTTTGTTGGGCGACACAGAGGCGAGGTCGCCAGGCCCGGCTTCTGAGGAGGACGGAGCCCAGGACGCTCAGAGTCAACCACAGGCCTCTCAGGACCAGGACAGCCACGCTCCGTCCCCTCAGGTGTGACCGGAGGTGTGGCAGCGTGCGTGGCCGGAGGGGTGCCCCGGGCGTCCTCCGTGTGCCATGGGGACGGTGGGAGATACGAGGCTCTGCCCCGGTGTGCCCTGGAGCAGTGCCCGCCCTGAGCTGTGGGGTCTGGGTGTCCCCCAGCCCCGGGCAGTGTGCGGTCACCCGGGACCCTGACAGCTCTGAATTTGCTTCTGTTATTTATGGCTTTGTGCTGCTTCTTGGTACCCCAGCTCTTGTCTGTGTCCTTCCAACCCCAGGCCGCGTACGTGGCCCGGCCCCAGCGCCGTCGTCTTGGCCTGAAACCCCTGGGCGCTGTGCTCTTCCGGGAGGTCCCCGCCCGCTGCCTGCAGCCAGGGCTCTCCTGGGAGCTCTCGCGGGCTGCAGACGGGCCGCTCTGCTTCCTGCCAGCGGAGCCGGAGAAGGGGGTGAGGCTGCCGGCGCGGTCCTTCCTGGGGAGCTCCGCCCGGGCTGGCCTGCGGAGGGCCCTCAATCACCCTGCCCTTCCTTCCTGTCTTCTCGGATTCTTTTCCCCCAAAAACGGTCCTGGAGAATTGTCACCCGGGCCCCTCCTGTCTGTGCGGGTGGGAGAAGGTTGTGCAGCACACTGGTGTTTGGATCCCGGGAGGGCAGGCGCCGCGGTCCAGGCAGGCAGGCACCGAGAGGCACACCCCCTTCAGAAGGAGCCGTGTGCCCCTGTTCCGCTGCTGTTCCGCCTTTCCTGACAAGTGGGCTTGGGGGCACACG